TCCAAATATAAACACGATTATTATGAAATAGTATTTTCCCGATCTTTGGAAATGCGATTTCAAGACAGCGATTTATTCCCAAAATCTAAAAAATATTAATATAAATAAATAAATTTTAATCAAAAGACCATATCAGCACAACATTCAGCAGCCCAAAGATCTAAAGGATTATTTAACATTGTTAATGTCATGATTTTTGAGTTATAAGTAATCTTATGTTTATGTGAAGTTATTGTCACCTACTGAAACTTGAAGCTGAAATAGATTGTAACCTATTTTGAGGGTTTTTATATTTTTATCACCTATTTTGGCAACTTCTTAAAAGCATTATTTAATTTTTATTTTTTACTTTACACAGTGTATATTCGTTTTAAAATATACATATTTATGAAGGAACTCATATAATGCAGTACAACCAACAAAATACGTGAAAAAAGGTGCTGAACAATAAACTACACCATATAAACTAAAAATTCCATAACCAAAGGATGGGTTCCAAAGAAATAAAATATCGAAAATTGAAAGCTGGATTAAAAGTATATAACAAGGATTTTTGGCTCTATTCTTCCAAAAGGAGTAAACACAAGGGAAATATAAAGGCTTAAATTATTAAACTTTTTCAACTTAATTTTTAAAAATTACATAATATATGCAGCCTAATATTATACAAATAATTGCAGGAATCGGATAGCTTCTTTTTTCAAATGGAATATCATCAACATTAATTCCTGTACAATTATATATTACGTCAAATTCTTTACGTTTCCACAAAATATCCTCCATTGTATATACAAAATTTTAGGAATTTAAAATTAATGTATAGTCTGCTCTTATATTATTGTTCGAATCAATCTTAAGAATGTGTGATTAATAGTAAGAAATTAATAGTCCATTTAAATCCTCGGTGCTATCCGTTAAACGAAACATTTTCCTTTCGTTTTCTCTAAATGTCATGCTCAAAGTCATTTAGATAGTCGACTTCGCCGACGTCGATTTCAGCAGGTTTATTGTTTACCGGAAAATCTTAAAATATCTGTAACCGAAAAATCTCTAAATGTACATGCACAAAGTTCGGTTACGGAATTCCTTCCGATTCCAGAAATTGCAATAAAATTTCAGATTTCTGATGGAACATATAGTATAAGTATGCGCATGCTTTCTTTTCATGTTTCTTAGATTTTAGAGAGAATATTGCAATTGTTTTTGCTAATAAATATTTTTTCAGCTTTAAAAGAATTATTTTAAAGTAAATAAAAATATTTATTTAAATTTTTTACTTAAATTATCAAGCAAATAAATACATATGCTACAAATACGTATGTACTTTTTACTTTTTAATGAGGATTAACATACCTATCATAAAACCTTTCTAATTTTTTTGTGTCCAACTTCCTCAAAAGTTTAAATTTAAATATAAAATAATTGAAGCATGCATAGTAAATTAGAAAAATGTTAAACAATTTGTACTTTATTACAGAATATTTTAAATTAAATAGTATATTAGGGATATATTCATTACAAAATATTTATAATTCGTTGATTATGTCGATGTAAATAAAAATTAAAAAGTAGTTAGTTTTAGCTGAGATAAAAAAATTTTTACTTAAATTTTTCCGAATTCTCCATTTTATGATCTTATAATGGAGAAATTTCTACTAATAATTTTTATCAAAAAACGATAATTATGTGAGAATTATCGACTTTGGGTAATGATATGGGCCTAGTTTTTTTTAATTTTTTCACGATATCAATGTATATGTTTGCTGGAATTTTTATAGATTTTTCCCAATGTTTTGTAGGAAAATATTAAGGTGAACTCATAATTTTGGGACATTGGTTTTTAAGAAATTTTGCCGTAATTTTCGCCTTAATATTGCAAATTGTCTGAGAACTTGCAATATACTTCAGAATACGCTAAATAAACATATTAAAAGAAATTTTGATTTTGTAGTCTGAAACCCATATTATGATGAAATTTAGGGGTGAACTCATAATTTTGGGACAGAGTGTATAAGGGGCACTGAAAGAAAATAAAGATATGTATTTCTTTCAATTTTTTATAAATAAACAAAATTTTCAACCAAATTTCCAGTCATTTGTTGTAAAATAATTGTACTATAAATTAAAAATGGTAATAGCACTGATTTTTTTAAAGCTAGGACTGATTTTTAAAGATTTTTACTGATTTTTAGGCAAATTTTAAGAAAAAACGCTAAAAAAGGCAAAAATAGTACAGGGTGCGGCAAATTTTGCGCCACTTTTGTTTTTGCCATAACTTTCTTCAATTTCGATGAAACTTGCTAATTCCTTTTTTATTTTATTCCCAACACTCTAAGCAAATTCTTGATATCAAAAAATAGAAATTTAGTTGAAGGATTATAAAGATATACCCGTCTAAAGTTCGAATCGCATCAAAAAATATTTTTTCATGCCAAAGTTTACTTAACCGTAACTTCGCTCAAAGTCATCCAATCTTAACAATTTTGGTACCAATCGACTCGTCTCGACAAGAAACATCGAAATAGTCTATAATTTCATTTTTGAAAATTTTAACTAAAAAAGTGAAATTTAGCATTTTGTTCCTAATTTATCATTTAAAGACCCATATCTCAGCTCATAAACAAGATAATTGCTTTATTTTGACGTTATTCGAATCAGCTTAAAGAGCTTATTCGAATGATATGAACTTCTCACATATCAAACAAATAGCCTCTAAATCAGACGACTTTTGGTCCAAAAAATTTTTCCAGAATTTTAAGAAAAAACAATCAAATTAATTTCCGAAGTTTAGAGAATATTTTGGTACCAAAAAATTGCTTAGAGTGTTGGGAATAAAATAAAAAAAGAATTAGCAATTTTCATCGACAATGAAGAAAGTTATGGCAAAAACAAAAGTGGCGCAAAATTTGCCGCACCCTGTACCAAAAAGTCCAAAATAAGCAAAAATAGGCAAAATAAAAGTCATGCTAAACACTTAGGACCAAGCTAAAAACACGTTTTTCGAACGTATTACATCATCCCAAGCCTGCAGAAAAAACAGGCATTTGCCTATAAATCCTCGCTTTATTAATAACTTTTTATTACGTTGACAGATTTTAATAATTTTTGGTACTTTATATCTATAATTTATGAGAATTTTTTTGACATAAAATTTAATGATTAAACAATATAAATAATAACATATTTTTATGAAACTTTTTTTGATAGTAAACAAAAATTTTCTTATAAAAATTGAAAGTGACTATTATATTAATTATTAAAGTGCTTATTATATTAAAAAATTTTTAAAGTTTAATTTTGTTTGCAGGTGTATTTCTAATTAATTTTTAAAGTTTAATAAATATATTCATTAAAAAACAGATTTAAAAGTGAACTTTTAAATTATAAATCACCATTATACTTTAGATGAGTTGTAAGGTAAATTAGTAAATGTTTACAATCTAAAACTAGAAATTAAATAAAATTTTTAAAGTTTAATATGTTTTTATTTATTAAAAACAGACTTTTGAAAAATTTAAAAGTTTCGTGACTTTTAAAAAGTTTAAACAAAACAAAAATATTATTGAAATATTGTACAGAATTTTAAAAGCATTATCTAACTACAATAAAAATTTAAGATAATTTGTTATTTTAATTAAAAAGTTTTTAATGTAATAAATGTATGAAATGCCCTTTAAAAGGTACGAGACCAAAAATATAAGTAGTAAAAATGATAAGGACAAAATTTCTTGCCAGATTTTTATTAAAAAAGAAGTTAAAAAAAATTTTTTTCTTAATATATTGTAATTTTTTTGGAATATTTTCTTCGAGGTCGAGAGGCAAATTTTGGCCGAGGTTCGAGAATAACCGAGGGTTTTATAAAATTTTATAACTTTTCAAAATCTGCTTAAATTTAATAAATTTGATCAAATATTCACTAAATTATATCAAATTTCGGTTCAGTATTTTTCCTAATAGAGATCGGACAAATCAAGATATATTTTTAAACACTGGATTTATAAGTATATCAATCAGTCTTGAATTGTTTAGCATCGTATGATTTGAAACTATTTGATCATTGGTACAACGATACGTATATCTGAGAATCAATGGCGATATTTGTAATTAGTATAGTAATTAAGTAATTAGATATTTGTAATTTTGTTCAGAATCATCGCAGCAGCTGATGTTGGTGTCATTCGATTTAGCTCGTCGACTTTTTCAATATTTTATAAATAGATAAAGTTTTAAAAAGTTCGATAAATAATTTACTAAGATTAATTATAATATACAGGTTATCAGAAAATATTTATTAGAATTTAAAAATATGTTGATTATTGAGAGATTTACTAATTAAAAAAATATTTTTGTAAATATGTATTTGACAAATCCAGTTCAAATAATCCAGTTCTAAATATTAAAATATGTAAAACTAATATCTAAATTTATTAACTAATTCCATTCTAAAAGGTCTATATCCATTTAATGGATCAAATGATACTTCAAACTTTCTTCCATTAAAAATATAATTATGACTAAATAAAAGCCAAGAAAGTCCATATAAACTACAAAAGACAATCCAAATATAAACTCGATTATTATGAAAAAGCTTTTGCGCAATCTTTGGAAATGCAACTTCAAGACAACGATTTATTCCCAAAATCTAAAATAATTCAATAAATATTTTTTTTATTTTTACAACCAGGTCAGCACAACATTCAGCAGCCCAAAAAACTAAAAGAATTATTTATTATCTTGCTTCTTGCATTAAAATTTTGTCATTAAATCAATTTAAACCTGTACAGTTCTGACCATGGATTGAACGGGTTACCCGAAATACGACCCGAGAAATTTGCGAACACCCGCCCCGAACCCTGCTTTATCCACGCCTCTCTCAATTAAAGGAATAAATCTGGCTTCTTGATCATACAAAAGTCTCAAGATTTTCGCTTGCGGCGCTAGAAAAGGAATATGTATATCCTTGCTTATCCGATCAAAGTAGTCTTAAATACTTAAATTTATTACTTTTTATTAAAATTATGATTAAAGAACTCACATAATGAAAAACAACCGAAAAAATAGCTTAAAAAAGGTGAAGAACAATAGACTAGACCATTTTTGTTAAAGAATCCATGAGCAAAAGTTAACACCCAAAGAGTTCCAATATCCAAGATTGAAAGATAAATTAAAAGCATATAACAAGGATTTTTGGCTCGATTCTTCCAAAAAGAGTAAAGACAAGGAAAATATAAAGGCTTAAATTATTAAAATTCAATAAAAAGTTAATGAATACTTTACGTAATATATAAATCCAAGTAAAATACTAATTATTGAAACTATTAAAAATCTTTGGTCAATTGGAACATCATCAACATTAATTCCTGTACAATTATATATTGTATCGAATTCCTTACGATTCCACAAAATATATTCCATTATATATTCAGATCTAAGAATTTGAAATTAAATTTTAATTTTCTGATGTAATATTAGACAAACCTAGTTAAAGTACTAAAACAATAAACAATTCTTTCAATTAAATCTATTTAGAATTAGAAACTTATAAATTGGGGTAACTGTTTTAATTCAAACTAGTGTTCGCAAATGGACTTTTCCGGTACCGGTAGTACCGAAAACTACCCAAATAACAACACAGCTCTTATTAGAAAATTCAAAGAGAATTTTGATATTTCTTTCATTTTTTGTTCAAAATAATTACAAAGTAAATCTGCAGAAAATTTTCTAATTTTTTTTTCTTTGAATTCCTCTAAAATGGAATTTTAGGGCGTGTATACCCTGAAATCCTCGAAACTTTTCCGGGTTGGGGGCCGGGGTCTTTGAATTGTTTCGAGGCGGGGTTCGGTCGGGGAAATGTTGAAAAATTCTTTTGGGAACGCGGATCTGGTACGGTTTGTCTAGCTCCAATTTCTAAGGTTATAAAATGTAAAAGCTCTTTATCTAGATAAAAGCCGAACATAATGACTAAATAAACATCTTTATTTCCCGTTAATATTTATTAGAAAAACTTTAAAAACAAAGTTTTTTAGTTTTGTAAACATTTTAAACTTTCACATGGCAACTGTAATTGTATGGTTCGCATTTATTCAAATTCTTAATTTCTAGATAGAATATTACAATTATCTTTTTGTTATAGTAAATATTTATAAACCTTTAAAAAATTATTTTCAAGTAAAATTTTCACATGGCTAGACTTAAAACAAATATTTTTAATAGAATACCTTTATTCATTAAGAACCTTTATTCTTTATTCATTAAGAAAAAACTTTTTAAATAAAAATAAACATTTTAAGGTGTTTATTCAAGTATTTATTATTTCAATGTTAAATACATCGGATGGCATTGCCTATGCTTACACTATGAATCATCCTGATCATGGAATGTTACCTGCAATGATTGCACATTTTTCTTGGTATTAGAAATTAATTATAATAATTAAAATATATTTAATTTATTATATTCTAAGGTTACATATTCATGGTAAGTATTTTTATTGATATATGACAGTATTCAAATTCGAGTTCATTTTTAAAAAATCCGCTTTCATTTTTTGTTCGGAACCTTTGGCCAGCTGGTCTAATATTAAATTTTGGTTATCTATTTTCTGAACTTTTAAAAATTAAATAAAAAAATATCATTGAATTGGCTCTAATAATCTAATGATATTATGAGGGATTAAGTAGATTATGTTGGATATAGGGGATATTATCGATCTCCTCCAAATTTCAAATCCCTCTATATCCCCATATCCTCTTTATACCTCTTAATCACTCGAACTCTCTCTTAATCCTCTGTCTTTTTAAAAATTTACTTTCAGGCTTTCCTCCAGTTATTTACCTAATATTAAACAAAACTGTTCGTAACGACACAAAAGCCCTTTTTAAAAAGATTTTTTCTTCCTTAAAAATAGTTAAGGATTTATCTGTTGGAAGTAATAATCAACAAAATATCAGAAATAATACTTGGATGTAAAAAGAAAATAATGATTAAAATTAAATACCTCGTGCAGAATATCGCTAATGTGAGAGTCGTACACTCAAATTGTTTTTATGTGGAAAATATTTTTTTAAAAAACGTTTACTGCCCAAATTACTCACTGTCCAATTCACCTCACTGCCTAAATCACTCACTGCCCATTTAACCACTGCCTACGTCACTTCTGCCGAAATCACCAGACACGATTTTCACAGTGATTGATAAATGTTTATTCATCGTTTTTGCAAAAAAATCCTGGAATTTTTAATTAATTTTACTTTTTTATAAACAGAAGTTTTATCTCCATGAAACTTTCTATAATAAAGCTCCGATACTACTTAATTAACAAGTACTTTTAGAGATTAAAGATTACTACTTTTTTAATTTAAATATTATTTTAAACAAATATTTACTTTATATTTAATTTTCTCAACACATTATTAAAAAATTCATTAGAGAAATATATTTGGTTCAAAACGTACAGCCACTATCTCCGTCATAATACAAATATTTCCCTTAAAAATATGTACTTTAAGGGAAAATTTTTTACTTCTTTAAATTAATGTTTAATTATCTTTAATACAGAATAAAATAATTTATACAAGATATAAAATTTTCAGACATATTTACAAATTATTATTTCGCAGAATTTTAAATTAAAAGGATTTTATTTTTTATTTTATATTTTATCTAGTACATATACTATAAATTTATATCTTCGAGGGCCGAATGCCCGCGATTTACATACATCTAACAATCTAAAAGCGCGATTACATGTAGCGGGCCGAAGGCCCTACGAGAGATTTATGACTGAATATTATAGTAAAGAAAGCAAAAGTCGATAGGCTTTCTAACTCGAAGTTCTGTTTTGTTACTCAGAATGTTGAGTAAAACAAAAAAACTGACTAAGATTCCTAAATTTCTAGAATTATAGTAATAATATTAGCTCTGCTGGTGAAAATTTTAGGAAACTTTAAAGATTTGTTTTCATAGAGTACCTATTTTTAATTTAAAGATAAGCTTTTGGTACTTTTCCGTTTATGTCCATATGTAGTTTTACCTATCTCTTAATAATTTGAAAAATATTTCAATTTTTACAAAGGAAATTTTAGTTTCAATACTTAAGATTTCGTCTAGATCTTTTGGATTTTTTAAATTTTAAATTGAATTTATTAAATCTTTTAAATTTGAAGAATCTGAATATATAATGGAAGATTTATTATGGAATCGCGATGAATTTGACAGAGCCTATAATTGTACTGGAATTAATGTAAATGATGTTCCAATTGAACAAAGAAGATATCCAGTTGCTGCAATTATATGTATAATTTTAGGCTGCATATATTATGTATTTCTTAAAAATTAAGCAAAAAAATTTAAAAATTTAAGCCTTTATATTTCCCTTGTATTTACTCTTTTTGGAAGAATAGAGCCAAAAATCCTTGTTATATACTTTTAATTTATCTTTCATTAACGGATTTGTGCATACTTTGGATGCCAACTTTTGCTTTTGGAATTTTTAGTTTAAATGGAGTAGTTTATTGTTCTTCACCCTTTTTAACTTATTTTGTTGGATGTTGTGGATTATGCACGTTTTTTTATTTAAATGAATATTTGTTATATACTATAGGAAACTTTTAATTTTACAAAGAGTATCTGAAGTGTACATATTTTAATTAGTGTCTAATTAACAATACTTATATGTACTTTTAAGAATTTTTTTAGTTTTCTGGGCTTGTGAATGCTCTGCTGATTTGGTCTTTTAATTAATTAAAAATACGAGGTAGGTAACTATGATATATTTTTTAGATTTTGGGAATAAATCGTTGTCTCGAAATGGCATTTCCAAAAATTGCGAGAAAACTTTTTCATAATAATCGTATTTATATTTGGATAACTTTTTGCACTTTACATGGACTTTATTGGCTTTTATTTTGTCATCCTGTGATTTTTAGTGGAATATTGTTTGAAGTTTCATATGAACCATTAATTGGATATATACCTTTTAGAATGGATTTAGTTTGAAGAGTATAATACACTGTGGTGAAAGGTTTATACACACGCACAAGTTTATTGCATATACCGTATTTATTCTAATAGAATGGCCCCTCTAATAGAATGGCCCCTCCAATAGAATGGCCCCTTTTTGGGGGTATCGAAAAATAGAGTGGCCACCTCTATTTGAATGGCCCCTCCAATAGAATGGCCCTTTTAACTACAAAACATATACCTAATACATTTCTTTATTTTCTTATTACCTGTTAAATAGTACTCTTTAGTTAGGATAATCATAATATTTTTGAGCAAATCTGGAGTAATAAAAGGGAGATTAAGAGGGATATCAGGGGATTTGAGAGGATTAGAAGGGATATCACGAAGTTACAACGATTTACTGAAGATAACTAATAGCAAGGAATTAAGAGAATTAAGGTTAGATATTCATGGATTGAATAAATCTATTCCGATTCCAGTATATTACGTCCAAATTCCAAGATCCTACGAAATTTTAGGAGCCAACTGTACCGGAAATTTTGATTGTGTGGCACCGAAGTACATCAAAAGTTGCCTTTTCAGCCCCGCAGGCAAAAGGCTCTTATGTTTTATAGTGATACGAGAAGAAAAATTCACTAACCTAAATCAAAACTTTAGAATTTTATAAGAAAAATCGATTAAATTTCGAAGTCGAAAAATATTCGAGTGGACAATAGGTTCATCCAATCTCAGATTTTAACCTATGAAAAATAGAATGGCCACCTCCATTAGAATGGCCCCTCCAATAGAATGGCCCCTTTTTGGGGGTATCGAAAAATAGAGTGGCGGCCACTCTATTAGAATAAATACGGTAGTACAGCTTATTGGTAAAGCTACGTTGTAGGAAATTAATTTAATTTTGACCTGATTGAAATAAAGCAGATCCTTTATAATTGTAATAAATACTTTGAATACATTCAATTTTTTCGTAAATCTGCAATGCCCCTTAAGTGTATAACGATGAAGCTAATTATTTCTAGTTCGTAAAGAAATACTTCAAAATTCAATACGTTTCAAAAGTATAGCACATTATAACTTTTTACTTTTTCGAAGTTTAGTTATGTATCGTTTCAAAATTAGGAACATTTAGCTAATCTAACCCAAAATTTCATTAACTTTTGTCAATGCAAAATTGTAAAGTATTTTTTAAATCTTCCTAAAAAATTGTTTTATAAGTAAAATTAACCCTTAAGCTTGCTTCGGGAGTTTAAGTTTTCTCTTTATGAAGTTTTTCTGAAAAATAACAATGTTGCTATTTTGTAGCTTATTTCAAAGACTGCTAGAAAAGCTCAAAATAAAAATTCAAAATACCTATAAGGAATCCAGAATAATTTTTAAATAGGCTTGTTTTACGTTGATTTCTAGGTGGCAGGATCTCAATTTCGAGTTTTTTTTTTTATTTTTTGGAATTTTTCTGATCTCAAAAATTAAAGGGGGTTGTACTTTTGAAGCAGAGTGTATAATATTCTCCAGCTAAATATTAGTTAGAAATATCAGTATATAATTTCAGTCTTTGTGTATAAATATTTGCACCACAGTGTAAACGGACATTTTTTAAAAATTGATTTAAAATTTTTCAGTTCGAAAGGGATATATTTGAAATTTCAATACACAATACAATATTAGCTATAGGGTCACCATTAATTTACACTTTATTTGTCCTTTGTTTATATTTCAAAATTAAAGAAATGACAACCAGAGTTACAAAAGAAGAAATTATGGTAAAATTCTTCTTTAATAAAAAAATTCTAAGATATTTTCCCCATAAATATTTTTAAATTTTATATTGTCCCTTACTTTAATGATTGTAAAACAAATAAATATGGAAACGACAATTTAAATCGAAAATTTTTATTAATTTTTGAGAAATTCAAAAATCTGAAATTTATTTTATCGATAATGACTTCCTCCAAATTTTAACTCATTTTTGGGAATTTATGAACAAAATGTCTTAATTCCAGATTTGACAGATAATGTAAAAGACTAAAAAATTATTTTTAGGTTTTTATTCAAGTATTTATCATTTCAATGTTAAATACAGCCGAGGGGTTGGCCTACACTTATAAATTTAAATATCCAGATAGCGGTTTTTGGCTTACAATAATTGCACATTTTTCTTGGTAAATAAGTAAATGTTAATTTTTAATTTTATTTTTAAGGTTACATATCCACGGTAGGTTGTACAAATAGATTCAATCCTAAAAACAAATTAGCAATTAAGTAGATATATTATTTTAATTTTCAGGTTTTCCTCCAGTTATTTACCTAACATTAAACAAAACTGTCCGTACAGACACAAAAGCCCTTCTTAAAAAAATTTTTTCCTACTTCAAAATATTTAAAGTTTCGGTTGGAGTAAATAATCAACACAATATGCTTGGATAAATACATACACATATGTAAAAACAAATCAACGAATTGTAAATATTCTGTATTGAATATATATTTTGATATATTCTCGATTTAAATATTCTGTAATTAAAAGAAAAGAATTATTTTTTAATATTTATGCATAATTCAAGAGGGAGTCATTTAGGATAATGGGCGAGGGCCGGATGCATGAAGGCACTTTTTACGCCTAAGGCACGAATTATATATCGAAAAATTAAATTTTTGGTTAAATAATCTCATGTATTTGAAAAAACTCCTCTATTGATCAGCACGATTAACTGATCGCACGACCGCCTTGCATATGCCTCTGATGTCTCAATAGTTCATTCTGACGAAAATCGTTAACGAAATCGTTTGAACGAAACTGACTACCAGATAATAAATTATAGATATAAAAACTGGAGAATAGGCGAACATTCTTCATGCCCAAGTTTAATTAAAGATAACTAGTGTTTTTAGGTGCAAAAAACCGTAAAATAGATCTAAGTTAGGTCAAAAAAATTTAGAAGTTCAAAAATTCGAAAAAGGCCAAAATAGGTCCGAACTTCTAAACAGACTCGAAATTTTGCAAGAAACTCGCAGATTATATTACAAATATTCACATAATAAAATTGAGCGATAAATTTTAAAAAATGAAAGGTTTACTTCAAATCACTAAGTAAGGGGATGACGAATAAGCTTTACAAACAATAATTGATGAGCTTGAATTTTTAAAGCTTTCATTTTGGTTTTAGTAAGAAACCCTACTAATTTAAGAGTACCAGGAATTAGTAGCTTAAAGACAATATTCAGAACAATCTTATAAAGTTAAAGACTGTTACAAATAGACAAAACCTAAAAATTTTTAAATTTAAAAATCCAAACTCATTTTTATAAAAAATTTAAATTAAAAATTAATGACAAAATTATTTTCAAAGACATATGTATATGTAAAAGAGCATATAAAATTAATTAATTATTAATAGGGATGGGATAAAACATATTTTGTATGCGGATATGCCTTGAAGTGGGAAGCCCAAAAATGGTGTTTTAACATTGGTCCGAGCATTTTAGGACCCCATTCTTAATGCATTTTTTGCATATTTAGGTCTTTTCAAGCATATTTGTGCATATTTTGGGAAATTTTGCAGATTTTGGGCTTTTTCGGTGCATATATATGCGCATATTTTTCGACTTTGCGTGCGTATTTTTCCCATCCCTAATTATTAAATATTATTTAAAATATAAAAATCTAAAAAGGCCAACCATGATTTTATTTATTAAAATTTAGGTATTTTTTATTTATTATTTATGTTCTCTCCAAAATTTTTTTTTAAATTTCAAATAATTTCACAACAAGAATGCCTTTGTTTTTGCCTAGCACTTTGTACATAATTAATTTCCCTAACAATTTCAGCAAAAACTGTGTTTACATTGTGAGCACTTTTTGCAGAACATTCAGCAAAAGGGCAAGCCCAATATTCTGAAAATAAATTATTTTCTGATTTTTTATAATTAAGAAAAATAATTTATGTTATACATAGAATTTATGCCCTATTATTATTTTTTCCTATTATTTTTAATTTTGCTGTAATAGCAAAAAATGATAGCACATGCTACTCGAGATCGGGGAAAACTTTGAACAGAAATACTGGACATCGAATTTGGAAGTATTGATCTAACTGTGATTATTCTTTTATTGGAAAATCCATATAGGTAGCAAGTATATGAATAGGTCTTCGATTTTGACCCATCTTTTCATTAAATAATAGGGTGTGGCATACCAATAATGTTAAATTAAACTAAATTTTAATCATTCAGAAATATTATGGAATTTTAATTTTTCAGCTATTTTTAATCTCATTTTAAAAAAATAACGGAGAGAAAAAACCTGCTAAAGCAGCACCATCTTCAGACCGAACCTAAATATATTTTTTATTATTTTAAAAATTTATTTTTTAATACATTATTAATTTAGCTGATAAATAAATTAATATTTTAGAGAAAAAAACAAATTTTCTTATCCTCCTCCTAAAAGTTTCTCGAACTTCAACGATAGAATAAAACTATGGCCTATTTTAAAATACGAGTGTTAACACTCTTGTATTAAAATATATTTTTAGCTAAAAGACTTTTTCATTTAAATTTACAATCTAATCATAATAATTAATTGACCGTTAATTTTCACAACTTCTTAAGAATTATCGTTAGATAATTTTGAAATTCTCAAAATATTTTAAATTTTAATAATTATTTTAAAATATTTATAAGAAACTTTAATCAAATATTTTTTATTCAACCTGTCTCTGATGTGCCAAATCACACTTATTTCCAACTAATAAAATCGGAACTTGATCAGTACCCTTAAAAACATTATACGAATATTCTCTTAATTCCAAATAAAAACCTTAACGCGGATTATTTGATCTCTCATAGTTCGGATATCGTGAAAGCTCTGTTGATTGGTAATTGAATATATCACGAGGAAACCCTGGCCATTTTTTATATATAAATCCCGCATTGAGGCAAATTGTTCAGTCCCGGCAGTGTCGAGAATTTCAAGAACACAAGGCTGTCCATCAACCTAAATAAATTATAATCTGGAATTGTTTGGAAAGGGATACTTTTAGGGTATATTGGGAGAAAATATTTTACCATAAAAACAATATTAACTACCCTGGGTAATTATTGTTTCGACCTCTCTCTGGAGAGGGTAATTAATAAAGGTTATTTTAGAAAGGCAAATTATAACTATATTTATGTAAGTGAGTAGTTATTAATTCAACCTTTTGCTTGAGGGGGTAACTAATAGAGGTGGGGTAATTATTTGAGGGAGGGACATTAATATAGTTTTTACGGTATATAAATTTTAATTTTCTTTAAGCTAAAATTAAAGTTAATAGTTTAATTTAAATTTTTTTAAATTAAATATTGATTCTTAAAAAGTGATGAGTCATCATCTTTTTTGTCTACTTCAAAAATAAAAAACAATAAAACCCCTTCCCTCAAACGAAAAAATTTTCTTTAGGTCTTTATTAAAAATATTTTTAATAAAAAGTTTAAATCAACTTTTTATTAATTAAAAAAATTATTTTTTAATAGTCTTTTAACTCCAAAAAACAAATTAATTCAATTTATATTTTCAAAAAAAACCTCAATCTCTTTTCTATAAAAATCTTCAATTGTCGGATCATATTTTACAATAAATTTATTAGAAACAAATTGGACAGTTAAAGCAGATTTCCCAACTCCGCCTGATCCAAGAACAACAACTTTAAATTCCCTCATTTGTTAAAATTTTAAAAATCTGAATTAAATTAATTTAATTGATTAAATATTATTTAAAGAAATTAAATAATATGTATATAGGTAATTAGAAATTGTAATTTTAATTATTAACGGCTTTTTATTAAATAGCTTTTCTACCGCCCACAAAATCAACACTCTAGAAGACAACTCTTTAAAGTTGTCTAAAAACAAAAAATAAATAAAATAAATTTTTTTGTCAAATATTTTCAAATCAATAGGTTCTTGCTTCAGAAAAATTTCATAATTTTTCGACTTTTAAGTAGGAATTTTCGAAATAAATTATTTTGTTTGGAATTATTTTTGTGATTTTATGAAAATTTTAATTTATAAAAAATAAATTTAAAAAAGGGGAATAATTTTCCTTCAAGTTTTAATTTAATAAATAATTAAAGAATGATCAACAGTTTTTACACATTTTTGTGAAAAAAATGAATGAAAATTAAATTTTTTTCCTCTACTTAAACATTTAAAGTGTTCTTTTCTTGTTGACCAAAAATTGAGGTCAATGACAGTTCGGGGAATATTTTGTAAAGGAGAAAATAACTAGAGATGTGGTGAATGTACATTTAATTTTTTTTATTAAATGCGGGAAAAGATCAATTTAATTTTTAAAAATCAAAAACATCCCTCAATTTATTTTGTGGCTAATAGCGACGAGGAGAATTTTTATTTAAAAAACAATTACAAAGGAGAGATGATTTGTAATCAAAAATACCGTCATTATTCGATTGATTACCCTCGGTAATAATTAATAGGTATTTTTATAAAGATCACCGAAAATAACTTTATTCTAAAAATATGTAAAGTTTAAAAAATGTAAATTTTAAAAGTTTATGTGAAAAGAAAAAACAAGGTTCAAAAAGAATAAAAAAAGTTCAAGACTGAGCCCAAAAGTAATAATAAAGAAATACATAAATATCAAAATAGTCGAACGTGTCTAAAAAAGTATAAAAATGACAGCAAAAATTTAAACTTACCGTGTTTATTCTAATAGAATGACACCACTATATTTTTCAATACCCTCAAAAAAGGGCCATTCTTTTAGAAAAATATGGTATATCAATGTGAAAAATCAAAAAAACCCTGGGTAAATATAAAAAATCACAATTAAAGAGGTATGTTGCGAAATATTAGAGCTCGCCAGAATCGAAAAAAATCTAAGAACCCCGCTAAAAATGCCAAAAAAAAATCTGCAAAAATTTCCACAAATCGAAAACTTAAAATTTTCTGTTCGTAATTTTCCCTCCTTCCGTGCCTGAATTTTTTTCGTTGCAGTTAGCCAAAAAATTTGGTAAAACTGACAATCAAAATTTGAAAATGAAGGTCTGTTAACTCTAAATTCAATGGATGTGTAACAAAAAAAACTCAGGCTAAGCTCTACCAAACATGCTAGTTTCAAACTTGAATAAATAAATTACGCTATTGGTGTCCGTGCTCCCGTTTTAAAATTTCGTTAATCCCATATAATATTTGATCAATATCAAGGCGCTCGTTAGGGTGAACAGCAATGCAATCCTAAAATTATAAATATTTATATACGTAATTTATAATAAGATTCTACTGCTAGTAAATGGAGTAATAATTTCACAAAAATGTTAATTAAATCGAGTAATTAAATTATAAATCCATTTATACCTTTATAATAGAGTCTAAAGGTGAATTTTTGCTGTGATCATTTCGATAAATTTCCAAAACCTCTAATAGTTCAGGTCGTCCTTCTATTTAAATTAATAATTCTATATTTAATAAAAATTCATGAAATTATTACTTGGTAATTCTCCATAAACAATTTCATAACTCATTAAACCAAAAGCCCAAATATCTGCACTTAAAGATACCTAAAACAAGATAAAATTAGATACAAATTAATATAAACATTTATCATGATTAAAGTAGGGTATGGTCTATCTGTCTACCAAATGTCATCCCAAAGTCCCACGGACACCACAAGCTCTCTGCTTTGTAAGGTGTTTAAAAATTATATATAAAAGTTTATTTTATTTTTTAGTCCAAAAAATGTTGAGAAAATAGTAAATTATAAAATATTTTTACATAATTATGTTTAGACCTACATTTTCAATATCATTTCTTTCAAGCTCTGGAGGCTTCAATACACTATTCATAGTTGTTAATTGAACTTCATCAATATCCCATCCACTGATTACAGAAGAATTAAAGTCTATCAATTTAAGATTAATAACAGGCCTAGTTACAATGCTAGTTTGATTGCTTTTATAACCAAGTACAAAATTGTCTAATTTAATGTCCAAATGAATAATATCTGAAAATTTAGATTAAAAATTAAAATTAGGTAAAATTATACTTTTATCGTGTAATTGTTTAATTGCTATAGCAGCACTTTTAAGAATCTTCATAATAAAATTATTCTTGGATGTATCTTCTAGCTCCCCCATTTTTGCGTGAAAGTAATTTAATAAATTACGACCGCAAAGTTCTAAAACGGTGTACATCCTTTCATATTCTTCCATGCTTAAAAGACAAAATTTAAAAATATATGACAAAGTTAACAACATCTCCCAAAAATTCTAAAATCAAAAATAGGAAAAAGGGACGAAAATCAAAATTTTGGCACACCTGAGCAAGCTTCAAATTACCTGTATTATCAAGTGAAAATAAATATTTAACTCACTTTCCATATATTTCGATAATTCGGTTTCTGGTTTCTTCGTTGTATTCGTGCTTAATATGCTTTAGCACTTTAACTTCATTTTCAGCAATTTTTTTGCGGGTTTCAGTGATGAACTTTGTAATTTTTAAGGCTACACAACGATTAGTTTCTACAGAGTACGCATGATAAATCTAAATTAATATTCGTGACTGATATACAAAATTATATAGAAAGTTGATTTTGGCTATTAATCAACAGTTTTTTTTACTATTAAATTTTATTAATAAAAATTTAATATTAATTTTTAATTTTATTATTAAATTTATTATGTATTAATTATTAAAAATTTACTAGTTACCTCTCCAAATGCACCCTGACCAATTTTATAATTTTCATCTAATTTATAGAGGATACTTATATCCTCAACTGTCATTATTCTTCCCAAATCAAATCTAAGTCCGTGAACACATTGAAATGTTGTAACTATATTAACAAAACATTTATTAAATTCAGGGTGGCCTTTTTACCCTATTTATAGAGGATTTCCCCTATTTTTGATCTTTTCACCCCATTTTTTCCATATTTTGTACAAATGCCATATTTATCCCTATTTTTATCAATTTTTAAAATTTCAAGATGACGACAGTCATCTTGACGTGGTTGTGGTCGTCGACAGTCATCTTGACGTGGTCGTGGTCGAAGACGGTCATCTTGACGTGGTCGTTGTCGAAGACAGTCATCTTGACGTGGTCGTGGTCGAAGACAGTCATCTTGACGTGGTCGTGGTCGACGACCGTGGTCGTGGTCGAAGACAGTCATCTTGACGTAGCCGTGGTCAGGGGTGGGCGCATTGCGTTTTGCGTTTTGCGTTTTTTGCGTTTTGCGTTGATTTTTGGCCTTGCGTTGCGTTTTGCGTTTTGCGTAAATTTGGCCAAAATTAACGCAAAAAATCGCAAGAAATATACCCAATCTGAGGGCAAAATCTGAAGGAAATCAGGCTTATGACTTTCCAAAATTCTCAAAATTTTCGCCTGCGGCGCTTAAAAAAGGAAGAAATTTGGCTTCTTGGTCCCAAATTTTTCAAAATTTTCGCCTGCGGCGCTAAAAGTAGATCATGGAACTGTCAGAAAAATATCAGTTCAATATCTTGAGCTCCGATCTCCCTTTATCCCTCCAAATCCGCTGATATCCGCGGTATCAATTGAGAATTACAGAGAGGCATTTATCCTCCTATCTCCCCAACCCATCCGACATTCATCAGTAATCGCATGGTATCTTTTTAAATTTCCTTGATCCCTCCAATTTTCCTCGATCCCTCCTTCATAATCGCTCTAAATCCTCTAATATCCTTCATAATCCCATTGTATCCCCTTCAAATCATTACCCATCCAACTTAATTGTATCACAAGATCAACTAGGACTCGCTGACTTATAGTAATACTTCTATTTTAACTGAAAAATGGCTAATACTCGATTTAAAAATTTTTTTCAGAATTTTGCGTTCTTGCGTTTTGCGTTTTTTGCGTTTTGCGTTGATTTTTGGCCTTGCGTTGCGTTTTGCGTTTTTCACGATTGCCTCTTGCGCCCACCCCTGGTCGTGGTTAATGACAGTCATCTTGACGTGGTCGTAGTCAACGACAGTCATTTTGACGTGGTCGTGGTCGACGACCGTGGTCGTGGTCGAGGACATTCATCTTGACGTTGTCGTGGTCGACGACCGTGGTCGTGGTCGAAGACAGTCAACTTGACGTGGTCGACGACCGTGGTCGTAGTCGAAGACAGTCATCTTGACGTGGTCGTGGTCAACGACAGTCATCTTGACGTGGTCGTGGTCGAAGACAGGCATCTTGACGTGGTCGTGGTTAACGACAGTCATCTTGACGTGGTCGTAGTCAACGACAGTCATCTTGACGTGGTCGTGGTCGAGACCGTGGTCGTGGTCGAAGACAGTCATCTTGACGTGGTCGTGGTCAACGACAGCCATCTTGACGTGGTCGTGGTCTACGACGGTCATCTTGACGTGGTCGTCGACCGTGGTCGTGGTATTTTTGAGCACCTGCGCCCTATTTTAGTGGTTTGGAAAAGGCCACCCTGATTAAATTAATTAAAATTTTTATTTTTGAATTACCAGTTGTGTTATCTTGTTGATGAGTACTTAAAGATTTAAATAATATTATTAGAATTAATTAATTTGTTAATTAAAATAAAAAAAACTTTCTGAGATTATCAGACAAAAAATACTTAATTAATTTTTTTAAATAATGTTTACCCGCTAGTTGATGGAATGTTGGCAAGGATTTCTGATTGCTGAACATCATTTTTATCTTTACTAGTTATACATCCCGCAAGTGAT